GCGGGGCCGGCGCCATGGCCGAGCGGGGCCGCCTGGGCCTGGCCGGCGCGCCCGCCGCGCTCAACACGCCGGTGCCCATGAACCTGTTCGCCACCTGGGAGGTGGACGGCTCCAGCCCCAGCTGCGTGCCCAGGTACGCCGCCGCCGCCCGGTGCTTTGTTCCCGCGCGCACCTGCCGGCCGCCCGGGGCCGTCCATCCGGGATCCCTGCCCGGGACCGTCCACCCGGGATCTCCGCACCCCGGACCGTCCACCCGGGACCTCCACCAGGGCCCCCCACCCCAGGCCGTCGCGTTTGCGCCCCTCCTCCGGCACGCTCGTTCCCTGCGAGCAACCCCTGACGCGCGGAGGGTCCCCGAGGTCTCGGTCCCCGCCAGGGAGGGAGCGGCGCGGGTTTCTCAGGCCCCGCCGTCTCCAGAGGCTCTCCCGGGCGCTCACCTGGTTAGTTCTCAGCCAGCATCGTCGCATCCGCCTCCTGATGCGGTGTTGGTGGAGTTGACTTACGGCGTCTCCTCTCTCCACTGGGTATCACAGATTTCCTTTTGCGTCTACCACACTGTCAAGCCTCTGCCGCCTGGGAGTGACTCTCAGGGCGCGCAGCGTCCAGAGGACACACAAACCTGGGACCACGATTGTGCTCCTTCATCCAGCACACGCCTTTATTCATCTTCTTGGGGGTCTGGCGCTACCCTCTCTGTCCTGCTGCCCGGTGGTCATCCGCCTTTTACGTGTTTGCAGTCTGGCTGATAATTTAGAGATACTTCTTTGTACATAAACACTGTTCTTTGCATCATGCTTTTAATTTTGCCGTCGCAAAAGACGCTCCCCTCGCCGCTTGGTGGGGAAGCACTCCCTTGGCCAGTGGTAGCAGCTGGAGGAGGTTTACCCACAGGCCAGCGCTGTCACCAGCCCAACTCCACTCAGACTCACAACTTCCCTGTTTCTCCTGTCAGCTTGAGGCTCTGCTGGGTTCTTCCACCCTCAGTGGTCCCTGCTTACCAAGCTCGCTGAGGGGGAGAGACAAACTCTGGCACCCAGTCTATTCTGGGATAGACACCAGGCCATGAAGGCTGCAGGTGGGCAGCGGGGAAGAGCTTTCCCTGGGGAGACCTGGTGGGACCTCAGGAGTGCCATCAGATACAGGAAGTGGCTGGTGTGCACCAAGGGGGCCACGCATCTGCCACGGCTCCTTCAACAGATGTTGCTGAGTGAGGTATTGGGGTTGCGGAGGGGCCGGACACCGGGGTTTGCCCTCCCGGAGCGCAGGGCTGGGAGCCCAGGGTATTGGCTGTGCTGAGTGGAAGGGATGGGTGCTCAGCATGACTCCCAGACCTGTGTGGGGCCTCCCGCAGGATGCCGTGTCCGTGGGAGACCTGAGGGTCAGCGTTAGCTAGCATTTGGGGCCGACTCCAGAACCACCTGCTTGCCTCTCCTCTGGGAATCTCTGGGCCTCAAAGCCAAGCTCAGGAGCATCTCCCCAAGCCTGGCCTCCTCTCCCTTTCCCGTCTTGGCAATTGCCCCAGCGTTGGACCCCATAACCACGAGTCATCCTGGGCCCTCCTTCTCCCCCATGTTTCTCCTGTCTGTCCCCATCTGCAGTGTCACCACTCCCTGGATCTCTTGCGCTGGCTCCTTCTGTCAGCGCTCTCTGAGTCCACGCTTGCCCCCTCCTGGCAGAGTGCCTGGCTCCCCGACAGAGCACAGAGTAGCCTGCCTTTGCTGTGCCTCTTCGGTGGCTTCCCAGGGCTCCCTGAAGGACTACTGAGGTTTTCACCTGAGAGAGGTGGGGCAGGTGGCAGGAGAGGCCGGGAGGGCAGGGGCTGTGTTGAGGTGCCTTATTAGTCCCCCTTGGAGCTGGTCTAGGAAGCCCACCCTGGTGTGTGTGCAGGGAGAGCGTGGGGCGGGATGTAGGGGCCCGGGCTGGACAGCATTAGGTGTTGGGGGCTCCCTGGCTCTGCCTTGAGGGGATGTAGGGGGAAGAGTAAGGTGGGACAGCAGGTTGCGTTCTGTGGGTGTGGAGTCAATGGGCCGTGGGGTGAGTGGGGCAGCCATCAGCAAGGGCTGGCACAGGGTTTATGGGTGGAACATACAGAACGTGGTTATAGTGAAGCCCCCTACCTGTCCCGGTGCGGCCTCTACCCCTGTGAGCTCGTGCTGGTCCCCTGCTTGTACCTCCTGAGCATGCATTCTTGGACAGGCTGGTCCTCAAAGTCTCCTTTGAGACTTTATGTAAAAGGGGTCATACTTTCTCTGTTTATTCTCACTTGCTTTTTGTTTGGCGGCTGAACTGATGGCTGTCGATGCCTCGGGGTGACCCTGTAAGACAACAGCATGTGTCTCTGCTGTGTCAGGGGGCCTTTGGCTTGTTTCCAGGTGTTGGGTTCTCGCACCTGTCCTCTGCGTGCGTGCCTCCTGTGGGCGGGCAGGCCTGTCATAAGCATGTGCCCATAGTGGGTTTTGGGGGGTGTGCTCAGCGTTACTACCAGGCGGCTTCCTAGAGCGGTGTGCCAGCTCCGGCCCCCATCGGCGGGGACAAGAGTCCCCGCTGCTCTGCATTCTTGCCAGCACTTGCCTGACTTTTAATTTTTGCCAGTCTGGTGGGTGTGAAATGGTATTGTGGTTTTAATTTGAATTTCTCTGATTACTAATGTAGGCCATTTGTACTTCCTCGTCAGCGAAATTCCTGTTCATTTCTTTTGCCAATTTTTCTTTCTCCTTTTTTCCCCATACTTGAGTCTCAGCAGTTTCTTTGGGGGATAGTAACCCTTTTTTGGCTAGATGTGTTGAAACCGCCCTCTTCCAATTGGTGCGTGTTTCTCAGCTGTCTTCGCACCGTCTGTGCTGCCTCCCAGGGGCCACCTGGCTTTGGCCTTGGTCTTGTTTCATGCTCTTCCCTTCCCGGTGGTGGTGGGAGAGCTCTGCTCTTCCCCGGGAGCTCGTGCCAGGCTCTGGGACTGTAACTCGGGGAGGACTCGGTTTCTTGGATTTCCTCGAGGTAACCGGTCCAGACAGTGCTCCTCCCCAGTGACCGCGGAGCCATGGTGTCCAGTGGTGTCCATCCTCCCTGCCTTCTCCTGCCTGTGCCGAATGCTAGAGTTCCTGAAGCGGACTCCTGTGTCCCCCAGGGCTTCAGTAGGGGCTGGGTCACTTTAGACCCCTGTACTTCCCACTTAATTTTTTTTCCTGTTAAGGTTTGTTAATTAATTTTTAAATTTCATGAGGCTGGACATCTTTTCACATGCTTATTGTTCATTCACATTTTCACCTCCACAAACTCCTTGTTCAGGTCCTTGCCCATTTGAAGGATGTTCAGGTTGAGTTGACACACGGCGGAGGTGGAAGGGTCTTAGCGGGAAGTGTGAGTTTTGGGAGCTGTGCGCCGGGCACCTTCGCCCCAGTGAGACGGCCATCTCAGGGCCCCAGGCTGCTCTGGGGCTCCCCGTGAAGGTATCAGGCAGCATGTAGCTCTTGGGCCCGGCTTCTCGCTCTGCGTTTGCTGTAGGGACCCACCCCTCCTGCAACTTCGGAGGTCTCTGCTTTGTTGTTGCATGGTGTTCCATTGTAGGAATAAACTGCACTGTTTAAACCTGCTCCTCTTGGTGGGTGTTGGGGTTGTTTCCAGTTTGGGGCTATCTGTTCAAAGCTGCTGTGACCACAGCGCTTGGGGGGAACGTGTGTTTTCACTTCTCTTCGGTAATAACTGGCCACAAGGGAGGTGGGTGTGTGTCAGCTTCATAAGAAACCACCAGTTTTCTAAGGTGGTGGCACCAGCCTCCACTGCCACCGGCTGTTCTGTGTTCTGTTCCACGTCGTTGTGTTTGTACATCAGCGTGTATTTGGAATTTTAGCTATTCTAATGGCTGTGTGATGGTTTCTCCCCAGGGTTTTATTCTGTGTTTATTGTGAGTGCATGTTGAATATAATCAAACACTTTTCTTTTATTAAGAGCATCATGTGGTTTTTCTCCTTTAATTGCTGTTGTGGTAATTACGTGAGTGGATTTTCTATTAAACTAACCTTCCATCCTTGGAAAAATTCCACCGTGGTCATGCGTATCGCCCTTCTTGTTCATTGGTGGATTTAGATTATTAAAATTGGTTTAGGACTCCTGTGCCCCTGTCTGGGGTCTATAATCTCCCTCTCGTCTGCTGCCCCCATCAGGTTTTGGTGCCAAGACAACTTGTAGAATGAGCTGGAGAGTCTCCTCTTTTGCTGGGCCACAGTGAGGTTGTGTAAAACTGGGGTTGTGTTCCCTGGATGGTGGGAGAAATCATCTGTAAGATGACCTGAGCTTGGAGTTCCTTTGTGGGAAGTATAACTCCTGATTCAACTTCTCTCATGGTTGTAGGACACTTTTTTCCCCTCTTTGAGTTAGTTTTGGAAATATATTTCTCTGAGAATTTGTCTATTTTGTCCAGATTTTCAAGTTTATTGGCATTCGTTGTTCATAACATTCTTTTACTTTTTTACTGTGTGCAGGATCTGTAGAGCTGTCCCCTTTTAATTCCTTCTCTTGACCATTTGTGCAGGTGGACATGCACACTCTGATCTCTCTCACCAGAGGTTCAGCAGTTTTTTAAATGAATATTAGTTCTTTATTTCCTGCCATTTACGCTCCTTACGTTTATTTTGCTGTTTTTGTTCTGATTGCTTAAGATAAATACCTAGCTCGTTATTTTTCCTCCTCCTTTCCTTTCACATAAGCATTTAAAGCTACAAAATAAATGATGCCCTAGCTGCTTCTCACAAGCTGTTATATGTGGAATTGTTCAGTTTACAATGGTTTTAAAATTTTCTGTTATTCTTTCTTTAACCTTTCTTTCATCTTTCAAAGTTTCTTTTTTTTTTTTTCCAAGTTTCTTGAATGACTTTATTTATTTGTTTATTTTTGTGAGGAAGATTGTCCCTGAGCTAACATCTGTGCCCATCTTCCTCTACTTTGTATATGGGACTCTGCCACAGCATGGCTTGATGAGCGGTGTGTAGGTCCATGCCCAGGATCCAAACCTGTGAACTCCAGGCTGTTGAAACAGAGCACGCAAACTTAACCGCTATGCCACCTGGCCGGCCCCTCAGAGTTTCTTAATATCCAAATATATGGGGTTTTTTTCCTACTTATTTTTCCATTGTCGAA